AGGCACATTTTTGGCCAAAAATAATATTTCTTTGCAAAGCAGAAGAACAGCTGAAACCTTACAGGAGCTCCGCATTGTGAACTTTGACTGTTCCATCGGACTGAAGACTGTATGTAGCTTGGTTGCATGTTCCTCTTTCAAACACAGCTGGAAGCTTCTCAATTTCGTACCAGGTACCCATATACTAAAGAAAGAAGAACTTTTCTTCTTATTTTATGACCACACGGAGTCCACCAGTAACAGTGTTTTCCTTCATTAAAGCAACTACCTCCAATTAACCTAAAACATAAAATAAAGCGAGGCCTAATAGAGCTGAATACACTGCACACAGTTTAAGGTTAGAAATCAAAGTTCAGCAGAATGTAGTCATTAATAGCACTAATAATTCAATATTATACCTTTGTAACGTTGAAGTCTTCTTGAACAGATGGCTTGGGGCACTTGCCAACATGAAAAGACTGACCGTCAATTGTTGCTGCAGTCAGGAGAAGTGCAAACAGAACCTTTAAATAAAGTTAAAGCAACTGATTAAGCACACTTACACTAAACTTACACAAAAATAAAAGTGTAACAGTGTCACAGCACCTTGAATGCCTTCATGTCCAAAAATCTTGCAAAAGCTGTCAAAGTAAAAATAAGAGCAAAGTCTATTACCCCACAACTACTGCTCTGTTATGTGACGGCAAAGGGGTTTGGCTTTTTGGTTAGCTTTTCTTTCCGTGCCAGATCTTTGTAACCTTTGTTTGAAGAACCATATTTAGATTGTGTTTGCAAAGCCTTTAACCTCCAGTGCAACACTAACTCAGAATGACATTCAGTGCAGCAAAGGTACTTATAGCATAACTATTACTACTGAAGGTATGGAGTGGTAGGGCTGCAGCAAATTAACATTTCTTCTAAACTCAAGATTATTTTATTCAATAATCATACAAGAAGCAAAACATCCATCATGACTTCAAATTAGCTGTGTTAAAAAGTGAAGTGCATGAAAGCTTGATTTTGAAAGTCATGCACAATGTCACGGGTGCAGAAGCACCTCTTCCTCTGTGCGTCATCTGTTTTCTACTGTTTGTTTATGTGCCTGGACTGCTGCTGTACACAACTGATTCAATATCTGTGTTTAGTGTAAGATACTACATACTTTATTTATACCACCAGCCAAGTTGAGAAATTCCTATGTTATTGCACCACAAACTGCAAGGTGCTGTAAAAAAAAAAAAAAAAGACCTTTAAAATCTGTCCCTGTGGCAAGTGAATCAGTCTGCCCTGGAAGGTGCCCCATGTTCCATTCAGTAGGTGGTGAACAGGCTAGTAGGAAACCTCATGATGGATAGCACTTCTAGTCACCTGCTCTCCACCACAGTTTCCAAACTGATCAGAACAGAGATCCTCAGAGATTACCTAGATATAGTCAGGCTAATATCAATGCATTTCTGAGAACTTTGGAACCAGTGCCATAGACAGGGGCTGAACTCTGTTCCATCTTGAGTTCCCCTCAGCGATAGGCAGCAGGCAGGGGTCATTATACTTATAACCCTTTGTCTTGCTAACTAAAGGTTTTCACCAGTGAACAGTCTGGGGTAGATGTGAGTTGACAACTTTAAAATATTACCTTGAAAAGGACTGGAAACTTCAATTTCTTATGACTAAAATACATGTTATGATATTTCCAGATAGCTAATAATAAAGTGCAATTTACATCAGGAAGGTTAATATATTAGAATTGACACTAGCTATTTGCCAACATAAGACGGTTAACATCTATAACAAATCAAATAAATAAACGGAAATTAAAAAGGCAAGAAAGTTGAGAAGAGATGAGAGAAACACCCTTCAGTCATATTATGATTGTTGAGGATGCATGGTTTATCCACCACAAGGCACTCAGCAAAGTAAAACAGAGCATTTGCAACGCCACAAGCACCTCATCCAACAGATCCAAGTAAAGCTGGACACATCATAAACAATAAATACATAACTGCACATAATAATTTTCAAATTTGCTTATCTTTCATGTGTCTTAAAAATATAAATTCAATATATCTGATTTCTAAAATCAAATATCAGATATGGTCTAAAAAATCCTGTATTGGTCACGCTCTAATATTAACAGCATCATGCACTGACTTGAATTAGCAAACAACAACAACATCTTTCTTAATTGGCAGGTTGACAGCAGTGATACAACTGAACAAATGCACAAAGTCTGTGTGCTATAAAATCAAAACCTTGAAGCAGATTAAATAACCACAGGATTTTTTTTTTCTAAAATAAGAATGAAAGAAACAAGTTATGAAAAGTCTTTATTCAACATAAAGCACCAATATCTATACAAAACACATGCTTTCACTTTTGACCTTAGACAGTTTCTAGGGTTTCTTTCCAACATAAAACTGAATGATTTGTTTTAATGGCACTTTTACACTGGATGGAAATTATTTTTGATGTCGCTAATGTTCTCCAGAATTCTCCAAACGTCTTTAAAACAATGAAAAGACAACATATGAAAATAAAAAAAGAAAGAAAACAGGCAAAAAGTTAGAAGAAACAGTCATTTGACAAACAACACATGATAAATTACATTCTTAAATTTAACCATCTGATTTCTTGTTATGTGCTGTGACAGTATAAATAAATCATTGAATTTAAATTAAATACCCTTAAGAGAAAGAGCTGATAAGATGGAAAAAAAAAGCTACAAGACAAACATGTTTTAAAGAATGAAAATATTGAACTAGAAAATATCAAAAATGAAGTACAGTGCATCAAAAGTTACTTTGGTGGCAACACTGGTTGTCCGAGGGACGTGTTGGTTGTGGAGAGTTCTGGTCTTAATAGAACTTTTTTTTTTTCCTGAATTGGTTTAAAACCTTTCAAGACAACCTGTAAACATAGAAAAAAATATGTAAGTTGCCTTTTACACTTCCATTGGAAAAGTCTTTGGACTGCCACGCTTCAGGGCAGGTGCAGGTTCCTGCAGCCAACCTCAGTCTTTACTTCCAGTCTCCTGAAGAACTACAAAAAAAGGACCTCTCTCATCCTCAACACGCCTGCACAACTGAGGGGAAAACCCATGAGTGTTACTTTATGTATGGTTTGCATAATATAACACAGATGTGTCTTGTTGCCACCTTTCTTGAAAAAACAAAACAAAACAAAAAAAACTCTGGGTGCTGCGTGTATCATTTTTAACATGACTAAATCCTTAGCACATTGCATTTGAGATGTTAGACTATTAAGTACGAAGGATGCTAAAAAGATTAGCAGCCCATGTTAGCATCTGTCCTGGGTTTTACAGTATTGTATATGCCAAGTTGGAAATCTTTTGGATTGCTTTACAACACAAAGGGTCGTTTCTATTCATTTCTTCGCTAAGCAGTTCACAAACTAGTTTCAACTCCAGAGTGTAGCAACAACCTAATATTAGCTTACCTTCCCAGGAGATACCTTGCTGATGTCAGCAGTTTGTTACTGCCTCAAACTCTTTGTGTGATGCCAGTAGAGGGAAAGGTGTCAGAATTAGTAACATTCATGTTGTAAGTGTGAAAGTGGAGTAAAAAAAAAAAAGAACACAAAATGCTACACGTAGCACCAAAGATGTGCAGAAAGCGACATCGTTTTTCTAAGAGGGGTGCTCAGATCTTTTTCCAGAGGTTTTAACTTCAGTGGAGGCTCGGATGGGTTTCCTTGCATGAGTGGTATTCAGGGACAGGGTGGTTTACGGGTTTTTGTGGGTCTCAATGCAGAGGACAATGTACTCGTTGGAACAGCTTCGAGTCTCCTGACCCATGAGCAGACCTGAGGTCAGGCTTGATGACTGGCCCATGACGGATACATGGTCTGCTCGCCATGTCTCGCAGTGCTTGTCTGTTGCGCGGAGTCCCTGGCTGGTAGAGCCGTGCCAAACACTCTTCTGAGGCCTAATACAAAGAGAACAGAAAATATCACTGCTGTAGACAGATGAACGGACTCTAAGAAACAATTCAGTAAATGAAGTGTACAAACCAGAAGGGATCAGCTAAGACATCCCGGCCATCAAAGGAGTAGATGGGTATCCTGGTATTGATTGGCCCCCCATTGCCAGTGAAAATTGAGCGCCAATTCCTAAACATCATGTCTCCCTGCGGTCAGACATAGCGGGTTCGATACATTTAAAAAAAAAAAAAATGCTTCGGACATGATGAAATTTTGCTGCTAGTGGTTGTTTGACAGTAAAAAGCAGCACTCACTCTGAGGTTGGTAACTGGCAGAGTCTGCCGGAAACCTGGATAGACAACGTGAACCAGGTCTTGTCTGTGGGATGAAATGAAGGCACGGTAGTTGGGAGCCAAACCCATCGCCTTGGCCTGCTCGAAGCACATCCGGTCAGCCATGTCAAGCCCCATCATGTCCCCTGAGTGAGGCTGGTTCAACGCCACCAGGTTGAGCTTCAGGGAGAAGACGGAACAGATCAGTGTTAATCCGAGGTTGTTCAAGAGACAACTAAAAACAAATCTCTTCACAAGGGCTTCGATGATTATTAAGCACTCACCCTGCTTTTAACAGAGTGTATTCTTTGTATGGTGTCTCCTCTTACATGATGTGAGGCTCGAGGCTAAATGAATCATTGAAAATAAATGTTAGAGAGATGAATACTCTAACACCAGATTCCACAAAGGCATTTTTTTTTTTTATATTGACAGGTTATGCAACAAGTACCTCATCTTGTGGGATAATGTTATTGGCGAGGTGGATCAGGCTGCCAAGCTGTGTGAACAAAACAGAAGTATAAAGTTAGGAAAATATATATCAAAAGTTGATGTATTTGAGTTCACGTTGCCCTTAAATCAATAATAATGATTTGATTCAGTAATATTTTCTGGGTTTTTTTCCTGTTTGCAGCTCATTAATCATTTATTAGTTTAATGGAATAAAAACGGACCTCAAAAAACTGTTTCCAGCATCTATACAAGTCCAAATATCAGACTAAAAGGATCAAGTGCCTCTTATTCTGAACTTTCTGCAGTTAAATCACATGTTCCAGTGCACTGACCTTAGCTATTTAGAGAGAGAGCGAGAAAGATGTTATTGATCCTACAAAGGTAATTATTGTCTTACAGCAGCAGGACAAAGAAATCTAAAAAAAATAAACAGTGTAGTTAAAGTGGCACAGGGGCAGAGGGAGAATCTTATAGTGTGAATTTAGCCAAAAAGTTCACATATACAACAGTGATAAAAAAAAACCCCTAAGAAAATAAAAAATAAAAAGAGATTAAGTTAAAGAAGAGTAAAAAGAGAGTAGTGTGAATTGAATTAATAATAGGTACACTAGAAATCCAAGAAACTGCTACAAGAGAGGGTATAATACAGAAATATGTGTGTGGAAGTTTATGTCTGACAGGTGCGTTCACCTGTCACAGAAAGAAGAGTTACTGTACAGTTTCACATAGAAAGGTAGAAAGGATCTCCTGAAGCGTTATGGGAGAAGGGTTAAATCAGTATGAGTGAGAATGAGCTCTGCCGCCTCATTAGGGTGAAGCTGAGCAGGTGAGATGTGTTATTCATGATCATGATGGAGAGCTCTGTGACCAGTGTACTAATATGAACATGAAAGTATTTCTGTAAAACGGTTTTACCAAACTGATAAAGCACCATTGTAAATTACTACCTGGATCTCTTTCCATCCCTGGGAAACTTTAAGGAAGAGACTTCCTGTCGTTGTAACAAATGCCAGAGTGCCCTCTGCATCTTTCACTGTTTGCTGCATCATACTCTCACGGGTCGAAAACGTTTTCAGCTGAGAAGCAAATGTGGAAAAGTACAAAATGTGCAGAAAAAAATCAGTTAAGAGAATCACGGGTCTGGTGTTATATTAATATATAGCTCAGCCACAGATAAACTGACTTACAGATGCTGTGTTACTTGAAGGACTAGCAGGTCCAGGTGGTCCAGGAGGTCCAGGAGGGCCTGGGGGGCCAGCAATGGTAGGACCTGCAATAACAAAGATCTCAGTATCTTCCATGTAGAATATTGTAAGTGATTCTTTTATTTCATTAGTTACAGTAACTATACATCCTTCAGACGATTATATTTATTATATTTGCAGTTTAATGAGTTTTACCTGAACCATATCTCAAGGATGACCCAGAGGGCCCTGGAGGTCCTGGTGGCCCAGGAGGTCCAACAAGACCAGGCTTGCCATAGCCTGGTATACCAGGAGGGCCTGGTGGCCCAGGGGGACCAGGGGGACCGACCACTGATTCTCCTTTGGGCCCCTAAAATATATAAAGGACAGAATTACTAACACTTTAAGGTTTATTCTTTCAAAAATATACCATGATGCATAAAAACTTACCACGGGTCCTGATCTTCCAGGGATACCTGAAATCCCCGGGAACCCCGCCTCTCCCTTTTCCCCTTTGATTCCCTGGTCACCATTCATCACCTATTAGTGCATACACAGGCAAAACCATCACACAGTAACCAACTGCTGACTGAAAAATCATTAAGAGCCAAAAACTACAGTCCTTTAAATGTCTACTTAAAGACTTCGAAAAGTAAGTCAATCTATAAAGACTCCCATGTAAAAAGACCAAACTTTAGAGCAGAAATCAAGTCTGGTACAAAACATGGTTGCAGTTTACGCAGCCAACTTTCCCCAACAACTCTACATGGGCTGAAACCGTTTTCACAACTTGTTAACTTTCTATTAAAGTTTAATTCTATCTGGAGTGTGGTTGGCAGAAGTTGACAAACATGGCTGTAGCCACCAGCTCCCTGCTAGGCTTCAAATGCCAGAACTCCTGTTGGTATGTTTTGGAGTATTTTTATATGAGTATTTAAAATGATTTAAAAGGTTTGTGGTCCAATTCAAGCGAGTGAAATTCTAGTATTTTATTTGAATGTTACTAAGTACTTATTAGCAGCCGCCTTTGCCGTCATGCAGTCAGCACACGTGGTTGAACGTTGTTAATAAAGTTTGCTAAAATTAACTAATAATTTGGCACTGAACTCTCTTTCTTTACATGACATAAGTCTCAAATCATTCATTGTCTTAAACTAATCTAAGTGGTTCCTGACTCAACCACTTTTTTGCAATGACTTTTTTCCACTTGTAACAAGCAGTAAAGCTACAACTGGGGCAAATTTTAATTGTTAAAAATACTTTTGAGACATTTTTGTCATCCAGTAGTTAAAAAATGTTCAAAATCCATGATAATGATTTTTTTTCTTTTTTTTTTTGTCATCCAGTATGAACTCTACATTTCCTTAGAATATTTGAGCAAATGTGCTATAAAGTATCTGCCTATATATTTCCAGCTAAACTGTCTCCAACTGGTTTACCACTAATATTTTCTTTTACGTCTTCACCCGACTTAGCTTTCAGGATATTTTAGACACATTCTTACAACCTGATCATAAATCCACAAAACAAATGGCTATATTCACCTTTTACATACAATTTGTGGTTAAAATTCAAGCACATATTCCATAACAAAAAAAGAGAAAAGAGCAACCTTTGTTTGTCCCTTATAAAACTTACCCAGCCTCCTCTTTGATTATGTGACACTAGAGGAGAAACAAAAAAAACAAACAAACAACACTTTAATTCTTGAATCACAGCAGGTTAAAAAAGCTACATAAATTAGCCCTTTTAAACCCTTAAGACTGATTTTTCTCTCTGATAATTCTTATTATATTTAGTGTTTTTATTTTAATACTAAGGAAGACATTTTTAACTCACTTGGTGGAGCTGGTATCCCTGGAAGTCCCCTCTCTCCCTTCTCCCCTTTTATTCCTGTCTGACAGTTACCTTTGAGACAACAAAATGTACTGTAAATACTCTGCAACTTTGGGTATGTTTATTAAAAGTATTTTGAGTGTAAAGGCAGTCTCTGGCAAACTATTTTCGTAATTAGTTGATGTTTAATTTACAGGAAACAGATAAGGTGACCAAACCTACCAGCTGCAATGGTTCCATTTGAATTAAGCTGAAATAACAGAAAAATTAACAACAGATTAACAACAGGCAGTGACACAATTCCTTGTCAGTTTACAATACATTATGGTACTGATACGTCCGTTTTGCATGTTAACACTACACTTGATCAGCAACTGCAAACACATGCAGATTTTCTACAGGTGCGACTTTATAACTACCTCCTTTTGTTTCCTGCACTTAGCCTTCATCTTTACAGACTTGAAATGCATCATGCAGGAATATTTTGGAGCAGCTGTTAAAATGTTTTGAGTGATAAAAGGTGTTACAATGAAAAACATGCGTGTTATTGGTACACAGAAGGAAAAGCAGAGGACGGTGTGAAGAGAGGAAAAAAAAAAAATGGCGTGGTAGCCCACAAAAAAAGTTTTGTACTTTTGTGCACATGAGGTTTGATCAAGATGCACTTCAGAGTCGGCTCAGCGTACACTCTAAAGTCCGATGGATAATTAATATGCATGCTGACTTTTATGCAGCCTGTGTCAGAGAAAAATCAAGTATGCACTGCAGATAAGCAGACAGACTTTGTGCGAAATCGATATTCCACAATACAAATATAATTTTACCAGTGGGACTTTACATAAAGCTCTTTAACACAGGCTGTACTAAAGCTGTCGATTTATTATGCTTTATTAGTATACAGTGCAGCTGTACGGTCAGAAACCTACGGGTGTTTTGCAGTGTGGTCTGGGGGGTATAGGGAACACTGTCTTTAGGAAGAAAAGGAAACAGTGAGCAAATAAAACACATAATTTAAGGTGACAATTGACAAGAACTGTGTAAAAAATTAAAAGTGTTTACTCCTTTGGGGCAGTTGAATATTCCTGGGCGCCCCGGTGGGCCGGGAGGGCCGGGAAGTCCCTATGAAGAGTAGAAGAAGAAAAGACAAAACTGAAAAAACTGAAATGAAACTCTTTGCCAAACTGGCACAAGGAAATCAAAGCAGCCTATGCTTCATTTGAAGATTATGATCAAAACCAGGTGCACAATATTAATACATAGAAACCGTAAAGCGTGACTCACTGGCAGGCCTCGAGAGTCCCCTTTCTCTCCTTT